TAACCAAAAAAAGTGACTACAAACCATGTTGCCAAAATAGGCCTAAATGGGACCTAATGAAATAATCAAAAATGATTTGGATTTTATGGTATAAAAGTGTTAGAAACAGGATATATGAAAAAAAGCTCCCCTTTTTTTTTTTAAGGTAAAAAACAATTTATGATTTTTTGTTAATATATAATAAGAAAATTTGGGGCCGAGAGTCCTTCACCGAATGAGATAGGAGTCATAGGACTTGTTGCCCTTGCTGGCAGCTAAGAGCAATAGCAAACAAATTGGTACACTATTTGCCCAACATGCTGAATTTTTTAAAATAGATTGGATAAGTGTTTTAGAAATTAAATTGTTTTATTTTTAAAATGTATTTGATTCATAAATTTGTGTAAGAATTTAGAAAGTAAAAGAAAAAAATTGGTGAAATATAGTTACATTTCATACACTTTTTTTCATTCCCTTTCATTTTTCTTACACAAATACATGATCTTAGCACAAACTAAAAGTAAAAATTTTATTATAAAAAATATTTAGAATCTAATTTTTATTGTGGGATAGTCCTCCTAAAAGATCCCCCTCAATTTGTATTTTTATTTTAAAAAGTGACTTTTAGCGGCAAATTTGGAAAATGGAAAATATTACTAATAAATGTATTTTTAGAGACAAAATAATTTGGTAACAAGATTTACTTTTTTAGGCAACTTTGCTTCCGAAAAGACAATAATTCATTACTAAATGATCAATTTTATTACTAAAAATACAATAATAACTGTAACTAAAATATTTCGTTATTAAAAAATAATTTCATCTACATATTATCTTCTTCATCTGGCCATGTCCATGATATGACTACAATGACAGTGAACACTTCAATATGCTAATGTTGATAGTTAGAGGACCATAATTATTGGAAAATAATCAAAAATTTTAATTCTTGATTAACGTGAGACCCCAATTGAGATGGGTCTAAGTGATTTTATATTCTCTTAAGTGAGAAGGTTATAACACAAAGAATAAGCCGAAACTATTAATAAGTTGTGAATGAAAATTGTCTCATAAAGTAAGTATCAACAAAAGTTGGGCTTGGACTTTTAGTCTTGATTTGGACTAGGCCTAAGCTTGTGCATGTGCTGGGTTTAGATTTAGATTTGGATTTTGACCTAGTCTTGAGCTTGTGTTGGGTTGTCCTTCGCTTTGATGTACTCAGCTGATGCATGTGTTTGAGATTTGACTTGAATTGGGTTGTGGCCTGACACCCGTATTTATTTTGCAACCCATATGTTTGAATTATTCAAACATCATTAGATACATATTTATTTATGTCACGCCCCAATTTTTAACTACTCGAAAACATTACCAAAGGCTTTAATTTAGGTGTTTTTTTTTTTTTAATCTCTATTACCCTTGAGTAATAGAAACATAATAATACATGTTTTCTTTCTCAATGAATACAACAATAACAATAATACATGCCAAGCTTCCGCTACATAGCTACAAATAAATAATTACAAACATCAATGTATAAAATTCGTTTCCTTCACATCTACAATGAGATTACACATAAGAGATTCATGGACTTCTCAACTCCTCAACTAATGAATCTGAATTTTCTTCTTGAAAAAAAATAAAACAAGGGATGAGCACAATTGCCCAGTAAGAATCTCATAGTTCTAAAGCAATAACTATCATATAGATAGAAATGATCATGTATGCAGGGTGATATCATATAGCAGGACAACATTTTGTAAGCTCAAAATATTATATGCAGAGTATCTTTTTCTTAAAATTTCTTTGAACATTTAAGGAAAACTGTCAGCCATAAAAATTATCCCTCATTATTAGAAAAACCATAATCCTTTTCAAAAACCATATGTTTGGTTATTATTTTTCAAAAATATTTTTCAGAAAATTCTACTTTCTTATTTTTCGTGTTTTTTTGTTTTTACTGAATTTTTTAACATTTTGAGCACTTTTTTTTTAATTTTTAGACATACCTAACATAAATATACCTAAAAAGTAAAAAAAAAATAAAAAAAAACCTTTTAAAAATTCACTATATACCAAAAATACAAAAAAAAATGAGAATTCAGTATATTTTTTGTATTTTTATGTATTTATTAATTTTAAAAAATATTTTTTCACAAATTTTTTACTTTTTAGTAGGGCTGGGCAACAAACCCACCCGCCCGCACAAACCGCCCGACCCTACCCTACCCGCAGTGCTTTGGGCGGTTTCGATGTAGGTAGGCGGGCGGGTGCGGGTCAAGAAATTAGCAAAAGATCGGGTTCGGGTCGAACCCGACCCGTCCGCAACCCGCATCTTTTTTTTTTTTTTAAAGAAAAAATAACTAGTTATTATTATTATTTTTTGCATTTTGGATGGATGGAGATAACTAGTTATTATTTTTATTTTTACATTTTGGATGAAAGTAAAATTTATTATATGGGCACTTATATACATTATCATGATCTAATGATATTTAAATTAGTGTTACTAGTTTGACTTTTATTTATATATATAAAAAAAAAATCATTATATTCCATTAGTCTAGTAGACACAGTTAAATATGATATTTTGAATTGTCATTCTATTATCACATTATTGCATATTAAAAACTAAACAGTGAAGATTAATCCACTATTAAAATTAGTGTTACTAGTTTGACTTTTAAGGGTTTGTTTTTGCATATTTAAATTAGTGTTACTAGTTTGACTTTTAAGGGTTTGTTTTTGCATATTTAAATTAGTGTTACTAGTTTGACTTTTAAGGGTTTGTTTTTGCATATTTAAATTAGTGTTACTAGTTTGACTTTTAAGGGTTTGTTTTTGCATATTTAAATTAGTGTTACTAGTTTGACTTTTAAGGGTTTGTTTTTGCAAGCTAAGGAGGAAGATTAATTACTATCCTCAAGCATGGTTCCATATCATCTTATCTAACATGTGGACTATTTATTATGATCATGAATTGTATATCTTGTAATTTAATTTATAACTCTTCTAAAAAAAAAATGTTTAGAAAATAACAAAAAATATCAAATTTGCTTAAGTTATAAAAAAAAAAAAAAACACTAAATCGCAAACCGAACCGCACCCGCCCGCACAAACCGCGAACCGCATCGCGGGCGGTTGCGGGTCCATTTTTCCCCAACCGCATAAGTGCGGGTCGGGTCGGGTTTGACCCGCACCCGGCCAAAACCGACCCGTGAGCAGCCCTACTTTTTAGATACATCTAAGTAAAATGCATCTAAAAAAGTAAAAAAAATGTTAAAAATTTTAAAAATATTCACTAAAAACAAAAAAACACGAAAACCAAAAAACTCAATTTTCAAAAAACTTAATTCAAAAAACTCAAACCTAACACACTTATGTTTAAGGAACAACATCATTTCATATTTATTAATCAATTCCAAAATATTCTTCATTTAATTTCCATTTAAATATTCCTCTTTTGTTTACTTTCATTTTTCCTTTTCACATACTCCTATTTTTATAACTCCATAATGTAGAAATCCACATTTCCTTTATATTCAATAACAATTCTCCTACACCTAACTTCTATTTTTCTAACAACTACATCACATCACTACAACAAAACTAACTATTTACGGTTTTATGTTTACGGCATGCATCGAATGCATGTCTTAGTTAGTACATTCTACGATATTTTTTTTTTTTGTTGCAAGCCGTTAATACTTTTTCAATAACAGCATACACACCATATAAGTCGTTAATTTATATATTTATGACATGCAAAAGTATGTCATAAAAAATGTATATTTTCACGACTTACAAAAATATGTCATAAAATATTTATACTTATGATGACATACATTTTATGTCGTAAACTATTTTAACTTTACACGGCATGCTAATGCATGCCATGAAAACTTCTACTAAAAGAAAATTCAATTCCATTTTTTTATGGCATACAAAAGTATGCCGTAAAAAAATATATATTTTCACGGCATACAAATATTTCCATTTAAGACGATGTACATTTTATGTTGTAAAATATTATACCTTTACACGGCATATATTAGCATGTCGTGAAAACTTCTACTAAAAAAAAATTCAATTCGATATTTTTTTTAAATTTTTTTTTAAAAAAAACTAACAATTTCTAATCAAGTTTCTCACTTCAAAAATTTATTTTAAATAATAATTCAAGTAATTTTATTGTTATACATTAGGGTAGTTAATAATTTTATTTTTTCAATTAATTTTATTAAATAAAAAAAATATAGAAGGGTGGGGGTTGTTTGGGGTGTCATAAATAAGTGCACTTTTTGTCTTTTTAGACTAAAAAGTTGAGAAAAAAAATATGAATGTTTGGGTTAACTTTTTAACTTTTTATGAAAAAATGTGTATTAAAAGATTAGAGGTTGACTTGTACAGCTCTCATATCTGCAAAGTGGAATAGATGGTAAGAAGTAATTGTCTACTTTTTGGACATTGCACTGGACGGTGCTATTCGGCTCGTGGGGGTCATTACGGGTCCTGTTTTGATAATCTGAACCGTTAATGTGTAGAACTCGTCGAGTACTATATGCTTGTAAAAAAGTACGTTAATCAGATATTGATAGCTATCTGATCAGATTTATTTTTTTCCAACCGTTAATTGTAACATTTTTATTTTTTTAAACAAAACTGATTTGATCGTATAGTTATCGATATCCGATTAATGTGATTTTTTACAAGCATATAGTACTCGACGATTTTTACACATACATTCAACGGTTTAGGTTATAAAAACGGGATCCGTGATGGGTCCCCACGGGCTGAACAACAGTGTGGTAAAATTACACCGTGTAACTTTTTGTCACACAACCGCAGCACAGATCTGATTTCGTGTTGGTAAATAGTAATAAAATTAATTTTTTTAATATTTTTTTTATAAATAGTAATAACTTTTTAACTTTTTGACTTTTTAAAAATTTTTTTTTCTTCTTTTTTAGGTTAAGATCAAATAGTATCGGGTCGAAAATTTTGCAATCCCTATTCGTGTCGTGGCCACCTTGAATCTTATGTTTTCAAATCGGATTACGGACTCGCCAATAAAACCCGACCCCTCTCTCTTCTTCACTCCTCTACCTCCTCCTCCTTCAAAACCCTAGAAAACGAACCAGACCTTCAAATCCCCTGATAGATCTTCATACATTCCTTGCATTTGAGATTAAAGTCACACAGATTTTGCATTCATACATCTCTCTCTCTCCATCGGTGTCTCACACAAACACACGAGCACCACCAGCCGCTGCCACTCCGAGTTTGGAGTTCAATTCTGATTCTAAGCCCCTTCCACGGATTCGATTAATTCGGTGTTTGCATATCTATTCGATTAATTCGATTCTAAGCCTTGAATTTATGTGTTTCGATTCTCCTCTCTCATCTCTCTTTGATTTTGATTTCTAGGGTTTTCATGCCCTTATTGAATGTGTTTTCACTTCTGTGATTGCTCGTTGTGGGATTGAACAAAAAGGTCCTCATCGCGATCGCTTCGGTCGAAGTCTACTTCGAAGAATGTTTTCACGGTACCTTTTCTCTCTCTCTCTCTCTCTCTCTCTCTCTCCTGTTTTCTGGTTCTTACATGCTGATTTTCGCTTGCATTTTGAGATTCCTATGATTTTGCGGTGGTTTAGTGGAATGAATTGAAGTTGAATTTGATATTCCTTTCCAAAGATTGACATTATGATTACGCTTGTGTTGTCGATCTGATGATCTGAATTTAACTGTTGTGATAGATCTGATGAGAATTTGATATTTAGATTGTTATTGTCTTGTTGTATCTGCATTTGAGGAAGCAATAGCTGAACTTGACACTTTAGGTGAAGAATCATACAAGGACAGCACTCTCATTATGCAATTGCTAAGGGACAATGGGGTGTTTGTTTCAGCTTTTCAGAGCCAATTTATGATTTTTAGCTTTGAAAAAGTTATTTTGGACTGTTTGATTAAACTTATTTCAAACAGCTGATTCTAATGGCTTATTTTAACTCAAAAAGCTGATTCTGAGAAGCTGTTCACCCATTGCTTCTGATTATCAGCTTCTGCTGTGGACATGTTAATTTATGGTTATACTCTTAAATTTTTTATTTTTTTATTTTTTAAAAATAAAAAAAGACTCAAATGGACTATAGATTATTATTATTATTTTTTATGAGAAATGTAGACAAACAAAAAATAAAAATTAATTGAAAAAGTTATTTCACAGCTTATTTAACAAACACTACTCAGCAACTTAAATCTATAATCCAACAGTTACACCAAACAGATTAACAACTTCTGATTAAAGTCATAATCTATAATCTGTTAAGCTATAATCTATAAGCTGTTTTAATAGCTACACCAAACGGGCCATAATAGTTGTTTACGCTTGAATTAGGGATGCAATTCCCACAATGAGAAGTTGTGTCAACCCAACTTGTATTGTAGTATTCAAATATGAATTTGTTTGTCAAAACCCAATTGGGATTTTTGGGTAGCTATTGTGCTGGACCCAATAACTACTGTTTGCAGTCAAATTGGCTCATTTTGAGACCCATTTTAATTCAAATCATTCACATTTTAGAATAAATTGAGTAGAACATGTCTGCAAAATATCAAGTTAATCGGATATCGTCAATCTTTTCATCTACTCACATTTATTTTTGTAGATACAAATGTGAGTGTATGAAAGAGTTAACGATATTCGATTAACTTGATTTTTTGCAAGTATGTTGTACTCGATATACTCTAACATGTGAACGGTTCGAATTATCAAAATGGGCCCCGAAATAAGCTCATTTGGCTACTACTGATTATCAAAATAGGCCTGGAAATAAGCTCATTTGGCTGCTACTATGTCCCCAGCACAACAACCACCCCAAATCCAACAAATTGAACTCAAACTAGATTTAAATTGTTCAAAATTTAAATGTTTTTTTTTCTTCAATTAGAATAATTAATATGTTAAAGTTAGAATCTTTAACATTTTTAGTAAAATCATTAATAATATCAAAACTTATAATTTATATGATGAAAAAAAACAATTTTAGAGAAAATATAGTAAATTTTACAAATTTAATATTACATTGAGCGTTCTTAAAGTCTGAATTTACCTAACATTTAATCCACTTTCCGAAACTGCATATTTTGCCTCATGAGAATTTATTATTCTTCTTAATTAGAAAGAATCATTACAAATCCATATCTAATACTTTGGAATGCAGATGATTACAATCGGTCCTATCCTTTTAAAATAATTTTAAAAAAATCAGTATAATTATGTTTGTAAAACTAATTACATTTTCCCTAAATTTCATGAAAAGGTAGCATACATAATTTAAACTGAACTTAAAATACTATAAAGATTAAATTGTTCAAATTAAAATAATAAGGACTGAAGTGAAATTTGTTTATAAATTTATGATGCTCTCTTGAGATTTAGATAAACTACAGCAAGTCTTACAGTTTTAAAATAATTAAATTGAGTTTCCTTCGACGATGTTTAGATTATGAACTTGAGTAGAAATTTAAAAAGAAAAAAGAAAAATGTGGGTCAAATATAAGTAAAATATAATTATATTTTATTCATATTTTACATACTTTTTTTCTTTTCCTGTTTAAATTCCTATTCAAATTTATAATTCAAACATAGTTAAAGTTTTAATTTATATAATATTTAATCTCATTTTCATTAATAGTTCATTAGTAAAAAATATTAAAAAAATGATATCATTTCTTTTAACCAAACCAGGTATGCAGAGACTTGGCATCGCGACAAGATAATAACTGAAGTCATACCAAATTGATAGTGTAGTTGAGTAAAATAAAAAGGTACCAAAAACTTTATTTAATAATAATAAAACATATATATAAGAGTTTCTATTTAATTACATTATCAGAGCTTAGATCATGACTATAAAGTGCCTTGTGCCTACCCACACACTGGTCTTGACACGTCACCTGAAAGTGGTAAACAACTATAAACACATGATAGAGTGAGAAATATTATACTAAGAGTATAAGGGCATAAAAATCACCATGAATAATTAGTGGCTAAACAGAACTTGATATTAAAATACAAAATATATAATATTGAAATTATTTAACATATAATACAAAATAATTATAACCACAATACCGAACGGAATAGAACAGATGTATGGGCTCAAGAGGTGGCTCGTACGAACTCTAGAGGTGGCTCTCACAATAGTATAACACTTAGCTCCGTACAACACTTTGCTCCACACCAGAAATCAGAGTGTCAATGAATCCATAACAGACAAAGGGCCACAAGGTGACCAATCAGGAAACAATGGTTTATTTAAGTCTCCCAAGACATGAGACTCTCATGATACTTATAAAATCATTGTTAAATACTTTCTTCAATCAAACCACATATCCATGGATTTTAATTTAAGCAAATAGAGTTCAGAAAGTAATCCATGTAATTAACATAGTAATATAATTTATAAAACACAACTTATGTGAAATAAATTATAGTAACTCAAAATAGACGTAAAATATATTATAGTGACTCAATATATTATATAACTCACCTTAATATTAATTCCTCACTATTTTTCTTTTGACGCTGCTGCTTCTTCTTCTTCTTCTTCTTCTTTTTTTTTTTTTTTTTTTTTTTTTTTTTTTTTTTTTTTTTTGTTTTGTGTGCATGATGGTTCTCTTGTTTGATGAGATACAAGTCTTTTTATTTAGGACTAGAAAATTTCACACAGCTTAAATTGTAAGGTGGAATTGTTTGGAACAGTTTTTGCAGCACTTGCGTCTTCTGGTTTACAGCATATATGCTAAAAATAATCACTAAGATTAGGAGGGTGAAAATGGAAGTATTCTAATGTAGTAAATGTGTTATGTTGCCTTGGGATGAGACGAGAATGGTAACAGTTATCTTCTAGATTTTCTTACTAACGGGAAATTATTGCTCACAAAGAAAATTATGGATTGATAACATGTATAAAGAAACATTGACTGTGATGTTTAGATAGTTAGTTGGATGTGATGCTTGGTGTTTGATCAAGTGGGCATTTGCAGGACCTAACTATCAAACAGAAGTATCTTGTAACCTTTACAGTAGTTATGATCAGAGACATAATATTGATGCAGTAGCCAAAAAGGTCTCTCTCTCTCTCTCTCTCTGTTCGTGTGCTTTGTGCACATGCACACTAATGGCCATGTTTTGCTACAGTTCTCAGAAAACTTTACCATACTTCTGTTTCATTATGATGGTCGGACAACTGAATGGAACGAGTTTGAGTGGTCAAAACGAGCTATTCATGTCAGTGCTCTAAAACAGACAAAATTGTATGAAATGAGTACTTCATGTCATTGCTGGTAGTTCCGATGATGCATATAGTTGATCTACCCCTATAATGCTTATACATTAAATACTTTAAATCTTGAAGGTGGTACACCAAATGATTTCTGTATCTTGATATTGTGGCACCGTATGATTACATATTTATCTGGGATGGAGACCTTGAGGTTAAGCATTTCAATGTCGAAGAGTAAGTGTCAAACGCAAAATTTCGTGTTAATGACAGTTTTGAATAATTTCCTCAAAATTCCTCTTTTTATTTGGCTGACCCAGATACATAAAGCTTGTGCGGAAGCATGGGTTGGAAATTTCCCAGCCTGGTTTGGAGCCCAACTGAGGGTTAACATTGCAGATGACAAAGAGGAGATGATCGCGAAGCTCACAAGTAATGAGATTGAGGCAAAGTTTGGGAAGACTAAATAAGTACACTTTTTGACTTTTTATGAAATATGAATTGGGTTTGGGTTAGGTTTGAAGTGATGTGTTAGAGAGGTGATGTGACTTAAATAAGATGATATGATTTAAATAGGATAGTGGCTTTTTGACTTTTTGGATTTTTTAAGAGTTGCCAAACTTGACCTGAATTTTTTGTGATTTTTTTTTTGCCAAATAACAGATTGTGCATATTATATTCAAGCTTTCTTGTTAGTTAAAATTCTTTGGCCTTGTGTTATGCTATATTTTAGAATCAGGGAAAAAAAAAAGTGGCGTTTTTTCAAAAAACGCCATTAAATGACGTCATCATGACATCTTACGTTATTTTGTGGCGGAAATGGTAGTGGATGTCAAGGTTTTCGCGACGTTTTTTAAAAACGCCGCTTAATGTTTTTAGCGACGATTTTAAAATGTTGTAAAGTTATTACGGGGCCTGTATTAGCGACGAAAATTTTAAATGTCGCTATATGATGGCATTTTTGAGGCTTGATAGAGGCATTTTTGAAACGCCGCTAAAAATTAATTTTCCTACAATGTGCATATGGCTATATTAAAAATAACCTTTTACGACATATAAAATTATGTCGTGAAAATTGTAATGATTTATGACATGCAAGAAAATGTTGTAAAAGATTATATACGGCATATAAAGTATGTCATAAATATATTAAAAATAACTTTCACAGCATACAAAATTATGTTGTAAAAAATGTAATGATTTATGACATGTAAAAAAAATATCGTGAAAGATTATATACGACATACATAGTATGCCATAAATATGTTGAAATTAACCTTGTATGGCTTGTAAAATTACGCCATGAAAGTATAATTATTCATAGCATGAAAAAAATGTCGTAGAAAATTATATACGACATTTAAAATATGTCATTAATGTTTAATTTATTACTTTTTACAACTTTATCTGCATGTCATGTCATATAACGACATTTGTGTGCATGTTGTGAAAGAATTTACAGTATGCATTGCAAGCTATAAAAAATTAATTCTGTTGTCTCGCAATTAGGGTTTCGACCAGGACCACCATAGTAAATGTAGTTGCCCCAGTCACTATTCTTGCCAATTTGAACATTGTAGCAATTGGGTTGCTCAGCCAAAGTGCTAACACCTATAGGAGCTATTAGTTTGTTGGAACCATCTACTATCTGGATGTTCTTGATGTAACTAGCTTTGCCAAACCCTTCTTCAGGGAAATGGCCACTCCCCATTTGGGTGGTGGTGTGTTGCCCACCTGACGCATAGTCTAGCACCTCTCCTCCCCACTGAATCTGTGAAGCACCGTCATGAAGGTATGAAAACAAGGAGGTTGGCCAGTAACCCACGACCTCATTCCCAAATTGCAACCACCATTCACCTCTTGTTGTGTCCTACCAAATTACCACACCCATTATGAACAAAATCAAAAAGCTATTCAAGAGAGAAAAAAATAAATAAATAAAGAGTGATAAAATATTTCAAAAAGTGGAGAAGTTATAAAATGAATAAGTCAGTTTGGCATTGACACTTCTTTGAAATTATGTAATGCTTTTTCAATATTTTAAAATTTTGAACAAAAATCAATTTTTAATTGTCTGAAAAAAAATCATGTGTGAGCTTGAAGAATAAAACAATAAAATCCATCATTTAAAAGTGAATGCTAGTCTTATTGTAGACGTTCTAAGTAACGACAATAATCCTCATCATGGACTCATTAACGGTATCCTTAATTGCATATTCCACATGAAGAAGTTAGGCTTAACCAAATTAAACACTACTACTAAGAAGCAAATAATGAACAAATATGATGGCCAACATATGCAACAACATGGCGATAGGGTTTTATTTTCTTTATGTAGCTTCTAATTGTATTTTAAATTAACTAACACTCGATGCTGGAGGGAACACAAGCTATGAAGTATGGATACTTCAACAAATATGTTCTACTTGAACTGAGTACTTACTAGCGTATAATATTTGATATGACACTTTTGCATATGTACACGAAATACGTATTCAAATTTTTTTTCTGCTTAATTTTTAGCGTACCTAGACATACTTAATATATCCAAGCCATACCGTACCCCAGTCGAAATAATATTTTCTTTTACTATAGAGATAAAATTCCTTTTAGTATATTTCTTTTTTATTTTTGGTTTAACGTGTAGCATGATTTTAAAATTAAACTATGATTTTTAAGTTATTTAATATAATGACATTTAATTTTAGTTTATACCTGTACTTTTGGGATAATTCTAATATACACACTTTAAAAATGGTGTATCATATGCATCCCTAGTTATGTCATCTTCTTCTTTAGTTATAACTAATTTTCTTTTTTAGTTATGACATTATTTTAGTTATGGCTCATTAGTTATGCCTCATATTGTCTTTAGTTATGACCTTTTTTTTTAAAATTATAATTCAAAAAATTAAAATTATGTCATTTTTCTTTTTAGTTATAAGGTGCATATGGTGCATATCCTTCAAAGGGTGTGCACTATAATATTTACCGAGATATTAAATATTAATTGTAGGTTGAATCTTAACAAATTAAATTATTTAATTAATTTTTACATTGTTTCAAATTAAAAATAAATATATTTTTTTTTATAAACATAACAAACTGTACTTATATCCTATATTTTTTAGAATTTACCATATTGACATACTCGTATCGTATCAATATCAGAACTTATACTTGTACCGGTGCTTCATAGAACACAAGTGAACAGACTTATTTATTTTCATATAATACCACTTTAAACCTCCCCTCCTAAAAGCAAAAGTAAAAAAAAAAATTAAAAAAAATATCATAAAGGTATGAGCGTATGTGATGTCAAAGATTCTCTGAATCTTTCTATAATCTACTATTTTGAAATTCCACTACCATTATAAGGGAGCAACATTAGAATATTTGTTTTTACTCTATTTTATATAAGAGTACTTTAAATATTTAAACAATTAAAAGCAGTGGGTAATGTAAAAGTTCATTGTTCTTAGGTCATGTTTTTTTGGGTGAACATAAGTTTGGGATTGGATTAATAGTCCAATAAAATTATTAATCCGATACTTGGTTAAATAATTGAAGTACGGACTAATTATTTTAAACTTGACTATTAGTTAAGATAGGATACATAATCCAACGGATTCGTAGTCCTAGGACTATTAGTCATGGGAATGCTAATTCAGTCCGCCCAAACAAACATGACCTTAATGTATAAAATGTTACCTTCCAAACTAGGAAGTTGATTTCATACTGGGAAGCATCATAAGCAGAAATAGGGGAGATGGTGCCCCCCATTGCCATTTTATTGCTGGTTTGAATAAAGCCTGGGCAGCGCAGGTTATAGCATCCTGTTTGTTGATATGCATCTCTCTGTCATTTAACATTAACCAATTTCACCATTAAACACGTGTATATATATTAACACTATCCTAGAGAAAAAAGAAACTCAAAAGAAACATTACTGGAAAAAAAAATTAAAACGATTAAAGACTCACAGTCCAGTAGGTGAAAAGTCTGGGGTTGTCATCTCCATACAAATCTTGGAAAACCTGTTTTTTTTTTTTTCCTCATAGAGAGGAGACATAAATGAAATGAAGTGAAACACAAAGAGAAAAGATACTAACACAAACAATGGGAAAGAAAAGTAAAGTGTATGACTAATATTTTAAATTTAGTTTGATGATAATTTTGTGTGTGTGTGTGTGTTTGTGTGTGTGTGTGTGGTGTGTGTAGGGATCATCACTCACGGCAAAGATGATAAATGGTAAATTATGTTTCGCACCTCTATACTTTCACCAACATGTCAATCTAGCCTTCTTATCTGTATCTATAATAGTTAATTCTTTATACTTTCAGTCAAAGAATAATAAATTATTTTGTCTATTTGATATAAATGACATTGAATGAAAATTGGTATGTGTGTTACACTCGACATTTATTTAAGGACATAAATAAATAGCAAATTATATGGATAATCCGTGCATTTTACCTCTTGTGTCATTTAGGACACTATCATTTCAATTAGTTTAATTTTGACATTTAATTTTAAATTGTGTCAATTTAGTTTAATTGATAATGCCAATTAAGTTTTTGAAAGAAATAATCAGTGATTTTGTTAAGATTAACTCACTAAATTAAACAAGTTTATAATTTTACCTAAAAAACATGATACATGCCACTCATGTACACATTTTTCAACCAAAAATAAAAAATACTAACAATTGTAATTAATTGGACAAAATTTTGACAAAATCATAACTTATAGTCAAAATCAAACTAATTGAAACTATAAAGACCAAAATGACATAAAGACTAAAATATAGAGATTTCCGGTGTAATTTTTCTAAATAAAAAGTAGAATATTAGTAAAAGTGAATGGACCAAAATGAGATTTGTTAAAAATAGGGATGCTAATCAAATAGGGAAATGCAGTAATAAATTAGATTATATGTTGTATTTTTTTGTTATAGAAACAAAAGGGAGAATAGCGAGAAAATCTACAATATAATCAAATTAATGTGAAAGTGTACCTGCCAACCAGCTTCAATAGTGTTGAGATCTGAAGGATAAGAACCTGCCATGATCCAGAGCTGGGACAAGCTAAATTCATTAGATTGTTGGACTATGGGTTTCCAAACATTCACGGTTGCCTTTGTTCCATAATACTTGTCTCCTTGAACAACAACTGTTGCATGCTAAAACAACTCCAAAATAACATAAATAAAAATCATAAACAGAAAAAATAAAAATAAAAATAAAATAATACTAAAAGAAAAATATAAAATAAAAAAGGGATTCTCTCTAGTTGAGTTTCCCAACAAATCGCAGATCCATGTCAATAATCCAAACTGTTTACCTTGTAAGGTTCTCCAAACAAATCATTTATATAGAATATCATATTAATTAGACAATTGTAGTCTCATGAATAGATCATATAGTCTTCAAAAACTTGAACTTTCTTTTCTCAAAAAAAACATAATAATAATTGTCGGTAATCCAATTATAGTTACAATTATCTGATTAGCCAAACATTGTTTTACGTATAAATGGGCACTTTATCTATGCGGGGCCTTAAGTGGTGAGTTTACAAGCCTAGAGAACAAGCCCCAACTGTTCATACACAAAGAAAACAATGTGTATATCTCAATTAGGAAGGGCACTTTGGTTACCGCTCGCTACTGGTTTTTTTGTTGCTATCCTGTTAATGAGCTAGTGTTGAGGATTGTTGTTTATTGCCTACTTGGGGCTTGTTATTTGCTTTGTTTCCTCTTCCACTACTGGTTTCTCACCGACTCTTTTAGCATGAGCTAAGTGTTTTGCTTGATGCTAATCTAGTTGGGATTAGAAAGTTATACTCTAATGCTCTTTGCTCTTATTTTCCATTTTATTGATGTATAATCATATGTAATATATGTTGATTTCATCAATGAAGTCCCTTTCTTTTACTGATAAAAAAAAAAAAGACTTTGTATATTTGCCAACAGTAACCATGCACTCAAATTGTCCTTAACTAAAATATTTTGTTAGAATATATTCTGAGAGGGTAATTTATGTGAATAGTTTTTACCAAACTAAGACCATTCGTCTTAGACATTGGGCCAAAGTAATTGTTTATGTAGCCCGGTCCTAGATCATCTAAGCACAGGCTGGTCAGAGGTGGGCTACCAGTGGCTTGACCTGGCTATCCTGGACCAAGGTATTAGTGGAAGGAAGACCGAGCTAAAGGATAGCTTTGCAGGACGACAACTCAAAGTCAAGACTGACAATGTTGACTAAAGTAGCACCGAGTTGTGTAAGCACGGTTAAGTCTGGTGCCAGCTGAGGTAAGAGTTGCAGCCGTCTCACTTGGTTAGTAGTGAGTAGGGTGTTATCAGGATAGGCATTATCCTTAGGAGTGTAATTCTGAGGAGGACTCTGGTAAGGAGAGTTGGAATCCTGCTAGGATTGTGCCAGGTGGGATCTATAAAAGCTCATGACAGGACCTATGTACAAGTATCACAATTCTGACTCTCAAATATACAGAGCTTTTGTGTCTATTGTCTATTTTGCTGACTTTAGCATCGGAGAGGTTTCCGGCACACTCTCACTGGTTAGCTCACATTTGTGTTTACAGAGAGTAAAATGACTACGTTTGGAGGAGTGCAAACTTGATCAACAGGATTATACGAGAAGATTATTTCCTACTCGTACAATTGGCGCCATCTGTGGGAAGTCACACAAAGAACAAAACCTTTTGATTGAGTTTCCTTTTTAATTGAAATCTGTGGCGCACAATGAAGACTTCCCACATTCTGCTATTGATGGGCAAACCCCGGAAGGGGGCAGGAGGCGCGAAGGTTTACCTTTTATCCCACATATGGCAGAATTAGATCCCCGACGACAGAACCCACAGAGAGACACACAAGAAAGACAGGGCTCAAGCTGTCGCCGATCTCAGAGCCCTGACAGGCAGAGGTAGAGAATGGATCCTCAGGTTCTAGAGGATCGCGTAAGGGAGCAAGATGAATTGATACGGAGGATGGCGGCAGACATGGAGACGTTGAAGCGCCAGATAAAAGGCAAGGGGGTGGCCACAAAAGGAGGGCGCAAAGGCAACACACACTCTTACCACTCAGAAGATCGTGACAGGCAAGTCACACCGTCACAAGCTGAAAGTAAAAGCCTCAGGACAGGCGACACACAATCAAGGACTTCCAAGACTTGTTACTCCAGGTCTGAGAGAATGAGGACTGAAAGGTCTTATACAGAGAGAAGCAGTTATCGGCCCTCGCATTCGCACCAAACAACATCTAGACACACGAAGTTGCCTAGGTCGGCAGATCTGCGTACAGTGCTATAGAAAATGGCTCAAAGAAGAGAACACACTTAGGCTCGCGACCCCTATAGAGTCTCAGTGCTGCAACGGTTAGCTCCCAGAACACATGGGAGTGTCGAGGCTGGAATGCCAGAACCACGCCTTGCCTATGAACCAGCAGACAAAGCGTTAGCGAGGTTGCAGAGCTCGCCATTCATTCCGACGATAGAGAACGCACCATTACCCTCAGGCTTCCATCAGCCCAAATTCACTACTTATGAGAGGAAGTCAGACCCCTACATGCACTTAAGCCATTTTCACCAAGTTATGGCCATATATCGACGAAACGAGGCTCTAATATGTATCCTGTTTCCTTTCAGCCTTGGTGACTTGGGTTTAACATGGTTTGAAAGGTTGCCAAAAGATAGCATAGCTTCATGGGCGCAACTAGCGGAGGCATTTGTGACCAGATTTAGAACGACCACCAAGAAGCCAGTAGAGATTGACCAGCTTCTGTCCATAGACATGGGCGAGAAAGAAACATTGAGGTCTTACAATAACTGGTATTGGAAGACTTTTAGTCAAATTAGAGACTGCCCTACAAACTTAGCTATCGCACAGTACAAACGACGTTTGCCGGCTGGCAATAAATTGAGGGATTCAATGACGACGATGCCGCCCCTCACAATGGAGGCCCTAATGGAAATAGTGTATCAGCACATCTGGATAGAAGAAGATATCGCTCGCTCCAAAGCAAAAACTGGCACAACAGTGATGTCAGACAAAAAACCTGTGGCAAAAGTTAATACGGTCGGGCAAGAAGAACAACCGATCAAAAATGGGCAAGGCAAACGAGCCAACCGAAAGGACCCCCAAGCAAGGAAGTTGAGAGTCCGCACTGCTATCACCACAGTATTCAATAAACCTATCTATCGGATTCTTAGCAAAATACACGATGAACCCTTCGTTCAACGACCAGCCAAGTTGAGAGAAGCGCATAGAGGCTACGATGATAGGTACCATTGCACCTTCCACGATGAAAAGGAGTACCGAACTCAAAACTGTACGCCATTAAGGCAACATCTTGAGGAGTTAGTGGCCGCAGGCCACTTGGACTAATATATTGAAAGGGGAACACAGCCAGCCACCTAGGACCGCAACAGGCTGAATGAGATGCCAGTCGATGGACCACCCCAAGGCATAATCAATGTAATACATGGAATCATCGAACCTGAACGAGTATGTGAACTTAGAGGGATTATCAAAAAGGTTAAGCACATGAAAGAGGTACTAAGTGCACAACCTACCGTGAAAAAGGAAAGAACAAAAGCAACGAACGTCATCACCTTTCCTGACAAAGACTTAGCAAGGTTACAAAGCCCTTACAATGATGCACCGGTGGTTACTCTGCGCGTCAAGAATTTCGACATCAAGCGGATCCTAATTGACCAAGGGAGCCCATGCGAGATAATGTACTACGAGACCTTCAAGCAACTAAAATTGGAGGACAGAGACTTGGCACCCGTAACATCTCCCCTAGTCGGCTTCAACTCAATGCCAAAATGGCTGGTGGGCAAGATAATTCTACCAGTCAAGCAGGAACGATGACAAAACAGGTAGAATTTTGGGTATTGAAAGTCCCTTCCACTTATAACATAATCTTGGGAAGAGCATGGTTGCACGCCATGCAAGCGGTAGCATCGACCTACCACTAGGTGTTATGGTTCCCCAACAAAACCAGAATTATTGAAAAAGTCTTAGGAGACCAAATCATGTCCAAACAGTGCTTCATTACAGTAAACGACAACCGGGCTGCAAAAGGGTTCATACAAATGGTAGAAGAGCCAGAAATCAACAAGCTATTCGTAGACGTCGGCAAAACAGCCGAACAAAAAGTAGTGGAAGACTTGGTAGAGGTAAGTGTAATAACCCCAACCTCTGATTAACGTTAATCCGTACTTAATTATGTTTAATGGTAATTTAGGTAGGATTTGGGATTAATTTGCATGTGTATTGCATTATTTTTGTGTTTCTATCTATTTGTGATAAAATGACCTATTCATATCTTTAACTTTAAACTGCGAATTGAAAGCCTTATCGGTGACCGATTCAGAAATTGACTAGTGTTTTATACTAGTAAGAATATATGTGATTTTATGATAGGTTTAATTAAAATTTGACTTGGTATGATTAAATTAGATTAAATAACGTTAAATTACATTAGTTAAGTTTATTACCAAATTGCCATTGAGTGGCCCATTACCTAAGGCAACCTTGAGAATGATTTATGCATTTGTTGCATCTTTTCATCATCCATTGAGAGACCAAACCATGGGAGAGAGAGTAGGAGATGGGAAAAACTTAGTTTCAACAAGATTTTGCTTGGAAATTTGAGGAATTGTAGAAGAATTGCATAATTGAGCCTCCATACTTGAAATTGAAGACCCAAGGTAGGAAAATCATCTTTTTGATTGTGAATTTAAGTTATACCTTGCATAGTCCATGGTAAAATTGAAGATTAAAGTCAAGAATTGGTTTAAATGTTGAATTGAGAAGTAATTCATGCATACATGTGCACATTATTGAGTTTTGAAGATGTTTTCATGAATTCCCCACATGCATGTCCATATTTGGGTTATAGTCCATGAATTCTCCATGTTTTGAGCTCAAATCTTACATTTGGTCATGTTTTAGAGCATTAGATTTCTAATGAACACTTGCATGTTAAGTTCTTGCATTATTCTTGAAACTTCTTTGGATTTGGTGTTCAATTGTCTCATATTTGGGCTTGATTTTACAAATGATCTTCAAAACATATTATATTGTTGGTTTTCAAGTGTTTCTCCGAAAATTGGCCCAAAAGGTTGAGTTTTGGTGTGTTGAATTCTTGGTTTGAGCTTT